GGAGTTATTGTGTAATGGGTAGAGAATTTCAGTTTAAATTTAAGAAGAGAATTCTAGAGATGAATCACATAGGCATTTAGAATATAGGGAAAATGCTTTCCAAAGAGAGTGGAGCTGGCTGATTATTGTTGTCATATTAATACCTGCAGAGGGATAATGAGAAACTGAAAACCATTAATAAGCATTACTGATTAAATACAAGAGCTAGAGGGTCTCTTTTACAGCTTTATCATGTCTGACTGTGGAAGTGCCAATATGGATGAGCAGCAGGCTGGTGGAGCTCCAGAGATGATAAAATTCTTAGCCAAAGCAGTTACCTTATAAAGGCAGGGCCAGGGTTGGGAAGAACTGCACCTTTGATAAATGGTAAGAATATCTAGAATGAAATAGAACTGGATAGAGCCTTCTGAAGATGCTTGCTCTACAATACCCTTCCCCAGTAATCGAAAAAATGCTCCCCTAACAACCTGCTCCCCTGTCCTCTCCTAGTGCCAGCTGAATCTGGGATTTTATCACAGCATAAACCATCTTCACTTGGTAAGGGAGGGAAGAGATGGCATATTACAAAGAGCTGCAAGAATTAGATGGACTGACAGGAGGTGGGGGGGGCAGAGCAAGGCATTGATCCAAGGTAGTGGATCAAGGAAAACGGAAAGACGGGATGAGCAGGAATCATGAGTTCTGGGGCTCATTCTCAGAACAACAGCTGCAATGCCCTACCAAGGACGCCAGGAGATGGGACACACATGTTACTGGGGGGTGGGGCGGGGGAGGGGAGGCTCCTAACAATCAAGAAAAAGTAGTGACCAAAACAACATATACAGGAAATACACAGGTAGAAAAGAAAGAAGTAAAGAAGCCAGTAAAAGGTAATATACGGGAAGGGGTGGAGTGAGAAGGTGGGTCGACCTGCCGGGTTCTGTTCTTTCCCAAGGAAACCAGGTATCGGGACAAGGCTAGGAGAAGAGCAACCGTGTTACTAGGACTGTGGTGGCTTCTTCTGCAGACCAGAGCTGACAGGAGAGATGGCAGTGTCACATAGGCTGGATGTGGGAAGTGAGGGGACGCCCAAGTGGTGGAGTCCAGGTGCCTATGCTTCCCTGACAGCACCCAGGGGCCACAGTTACCACAACGAAGCCAAGACTGGAGGAGCAGCAAGGGGGTGGACTCACAGAGAGCTGCGGGGAGAATTAATAATGCAGTGTCTCCGGGGAGAGACCAGGGCAGTGGCAAGAGTGCTGTGTGACATCTGGTGTAAGTAGGACAGCAGCCTAAGAGGCTGAGGGTGCTTCTGCCCCCACAGAAAATCATGGTCTCTACTGGTTCCTACAGGGCGAATGTACAAACTAGAATCAAACTGACTGAACAGACACCTGGTCTCTAAAAGAAAAATCTGTTGAAAAGTAGATAAAATACTCCCAGAGGGACTTTGCATGAGCCGGCACAAGAAGGCCTGTGCCCAGCTGGGCTCCGCAAGGCACCATCAAGGCACCGATGCAGTAAAAGAGGAGGAGTCACGCAGACCCGGGCGAGATGGCACTGCCATCGTGAGTCCTCATGAGCTGGGTGTCACCTGGGATCAGGTAATAGGTCAGGCCGAATTCTAGCTCCCAGTGGGCCAGCTGTGTTTGATGGATTCACCCTGTGAAAATCTCTCGTTTCACGTGTATAATTAGAATTTAGGTACAAGGTTGTTGGAGGAAATACTCCACTGTCTCTGGCCTGTGGAGTAAGTTCTTTCACCACGGGATAGAGCATGGGGTGACCCTTGAGCTGCCTCCCGCCAGCTCAAGACAGTAAATCACAAACATTATGTCACCCCAGTGGGGCTGGGACAGTGGCGATCAAGACCACCAATAAGTATCCAAAAGACTCAGTTGTTCCTTCTTAATCTCCTTTCAACTCACCAGGCTGCTTGACTTTTTATAAATGTAGCGTTCAGACATTTCAGATTTGCAGACTTACTTTTTTGTTTTTACATATCAGAGAAAAAGGATTAATTTTAAAAAGTTTTTCAGTACTTTACTAGATTATACAACATAATCTTCTAAAAGCCCTCGAAAGGATGGAGCAGCTAGGTGACCTACAACTCAGAGGAAGGGTCTTCCTAATACCTGCCCCATTATATTATCACCAGAACTATGCCCAGATAGAGTACTATGGAGCTGTCCACTGCAGCACGAGGGAGCTGACCCACATGGCGCGGCAGACCTCTCCTGACCCGCCCGCTGCTCCCCTCAGCAGTGGACTTCGTCAGTCTGCCTGTTCTGCTCCCCTCTCTGTCTCTGGGGAGTCCTCTCTTGGCCTGTACCCAAGCTCTTGTATGCATAACTAAATAAATCTTTTTTTAAATTAATTAATTAGGTTAAAAAAGCAGTAACAGGCATAGAGGTGCCAGACTGAAACATGTCCATAAATGCTGACCCGTTTAAAACTATCTTTAAAAATTTAGCGATTACCTTATTTAAATAAATAAAATAAATTCTGTCCATGTTTTTCCTTAACAATGAAACAACTTTAAAACTATTAAATTTACATCCATTACAGAGAAAATTTAAATGACAAAAAAAACATCAGATATATTTTATCTCATGCAATTATTAGAATATTTTACTTCACTTTGTCCATGATGACAACATAATAACTGGGATCATCTTTTACTTACTGAAAGAGCTACTGAACTTAAACAGTCACACAAATTTAAAGGCATTTAATAAACCTTAAACATTTAAGCAGGATATATATATGTATATATAATAAAAATTTACAAAGTTGAACTTTTCAATATATTTCCCTCCTACTATTCTGTATCAAAAAGCATTTTACTTTAATACATTAAATAATGTTCATTTAATTCTAACTAATACTTTCCAAAAACACATGTAATCTAAGAAGTTTTAAAATTAATTTCCTTGCAAAAGTGCATGTTTAACTTAAACATTAAATATATTTAAGATATTTTCTCAGTTTTCAAGGGACAAATTTAAAGTCTGAAAAACTTTGCATACATGTTAATGATAAATATGCTGACAATACTAAATCCTGAAAATTACAACTTTTTAAGGGACATAGACAAACAAGGTTTACATTGCAAAGTGATCAAAAAAGCAAAGGGTTTGATAGAAGTGGGTAAATTGAATGTGTGAATTGGAGAGAAGAGTTTAGAAAACTGAAGGACTGTAAATGGAGATGAAGAATTAGATTTGCTATGGATGGACCATATGGATGAATTAGAAGAGGTGTTGGGGAGACACAGATTTCAGCTCACTGATAAAGAATGATTAGTTATTCGAAGACAGAAAACTCTATCTCAGGAGTGGGTGTGTTTCCCATTGTTAAGGGCATTCAGACATGAGCTAGACTGGGGCAAAACACCTTATGTCCACAGGCAGGATTCAGCCCACCAGCTGCTTTTATAATAAAGATTTATTGGAACACAGCCACTCCCATTTGTTCCACAGTGGCCAGGGCTGCTTTAGCACTACAGCAAGTGAGTTGCACAGATGCAACCGAGACTGTATAATTCCCCAGATCCTGAAATATTTACTATGTGGCCCTTTGTAAAAAATGTCTGTTGGGCCCTCCCTGGTGGCGCAGCGGGTTAAAGCACAGCATCGAGAATCTAAAGCCACTTCCACATAAGTTCGATTCCCACCTGCCCCGGAGGTGACCACATGGCGTGGCAGACCTCTCCTGGCCCGCCCGCTGCTCCCCTCAGCAGTGTACTTCGTCGATCTGCCTGTTCTGCTCCCCACTCTGTCTCTGGTGAATCCTATCACCCTCCACATCTCTGGCTTGTACCCTAATTCTGTATGAATAAAAAAATAAAAAAAAAATGTCTGTTGACACCTGTGGAGGCAGCAATTTGAAATTCAAGTAGCGTATGGATGTCTGGGCAAGATATGGATCACTGGTACTCTGGTGTTGAGGCGGGTGCCTGGCACATCAGCTGGGTGAAGAGCTGGGCTGCACTGGCTCATACCACACAGGGCAGCCTAGCCAACGTGGTGAGCAGAAGTCAAAATTCACACTCCGCTCTGTTTTGTAAAGTTGTGTGTCCTGACGGGGGCTATGTTGCCAGAAGGAAGGAACACATTTTTCTAATTTGCACAAAGGCACTAAAGACCAGCATTAGCTGGACAACTTACAGTCACCTTAACAAATAAAACATCCCACCCAAATCAGATGAAATGAGATGTCGGAGCACCGCCACCCGTTGCTGGGACTCGGCTTTTTATCCTCACCCATTGTTTATTTGCATCCCATGAAATGAAAGCAAATGTTTCCTGGAAAGAGCTTTCATGCTTTGGGAAACACTATAAGCTCTACCCCTTAAGAAAGATGCATTTCATTAGCATATTCAAAACTCAGAAATAAAAAAGAGAAATATGATGGGGTAACAACATACCAAAAGATCCCTCTTTAATGTACAAAACATTTTCAAAGTTGTTCAATTCAAGTAAAAAGTTGTTTAATTACAGGAACATTTCTTTATGAACCTAGAGTTAAGATCTCACCAAACTGACATTCTAAGAAATGTGCTCTATTCAACGTGGCAGTTATTGCTTCTAGATCATAAATGAGGACCGAAAATACATACTTTTTTGGTCATGTATAGATTTTAACATATTGCTGAGTATGCAAAATATTATCTAGGAAATAACTGAATTGATTTCCTTATGGGAGCTGTACCTAATGAATATGGTATGTACTATTAATTTCATTAATTAAAGAAGTGTTTGTTTACTCTTGTGACAAGGCAACACTAAGTTATCATCCCCTTTCCACAGAATTCATTATCCATTATACACACAGCAAAATAACCATGCACAATATATGTCAATTATGTTTCTTCTGCTCTATAGCATTTATACAAAGTATATTCAAGACATACCATATTATTTTTCAAAAGTCAAAGAATTGATAAATTACCTAACAAAGTAACAGAACAAATACAGAATATAGGTTTAACAAATTCAACATCAGTGAAAGCAAATTACCTGAAGAAGGTGACAAAAAATTGCACAAGATCCATGATTGTATTGTGTTGTGAGAATGCAATCTGAAAAATCAAAGTAAAAGAAAGTTTGAAACTTGGTGAATCTATGTTGTTCTCCAATACCTATGGTGATGTTTAAAGACACTTGTAAACATACTATTCTTTTAACCCCCCAAGACATGTGAGTCACTATAAAATTAATCATATATGAAAACTAAAACTTCATCTTGAACACTTAATATATTCAGATACCAATAATGTTGCATACCTACAACATTAAATAGTTTTCAAATACTATTATAAACTTCAGCATGAGTGATCAGAGCTTCCTGTGAAACCTTATGATATATCAAATAGGCCTAAATAAACATGCAGATGAGTTTCTTAATCTGATAATGATCACATTTTCAGTTAACACCATTGATACCTGCTTGTAGTCAAAGAAACTGTTGGAGGTTTTTTCCTATACTTGCCTAGGGAAGCTGCAGGTATCCATATGAGTGCTTTTCTTATATACCATTCAAAGAAGAAGTATATCACATCATTTTATAAAATTGTATTATTAAGAAATGAATTTTAAGAAGTAAAACTAGCCAGCAAGATAACCCTATAAAACACCCTTCTTGAAAGAAGTATTATAGAATGTATTAGTAAGTTATTAGGCATCTGAACAGAAATCCAGCTTTTCACTTACCTAGGTGCATACATTTTGGAAAATCTTTACTTTGTGTGTCTCACTAGCTCCATAAGTATATCATAATATTAAAAAATAATAAAATCTATCTCATAATGTCAGAGGAAAGACTAGCTGAAGTGACAAATAAAAGCCTTGCCATAATATCTAACTTACAATAGCTACAACACAGTCAATGTTGTTATACTTTTACATCACATCATGTTCAACATAAGTGAATTTTTCCAGATAGCAAAAGCTAAATTAAGGTCTTTCAAAACATGTAACAGAATTTCCATTTCTAGAGAAATATAAACTAACAGAGATGAGATTTTTGCCCTTCCTGAAGCAACCAGAAAACTAGACAAAATACATGAAACACATTTTCAGGCACTGGACAAGAGAATAGAATATAATCCAGGTGTGAAGGAAAACAAAGAAGATGAATCTTATTATAACTGTCTCAGCATTTAATGCAATAACACCTAGGAAATTTAAAAAAAAAATGGCATTTTAAGTAAGAAATACCAGTATTTCTTATATATTAAAAGAAATCACTCTAGAGGATGGTTAAATGTATGGCATATAAAATATATATTCTTAGGGCCCTCCCTGGTGGCACAGTGGGTTAAAGCACTGCGCTAAGTAGCTAAAGCCACTTCCGCATGAGTTCATCCCGGCCTGCCCCGGAGGTGACCACATGGCGAGGCAGACCCCTCCTGACC